CATGACATCAATATAAATAATTAGCATGTAAATCAGGCTGAAAACCCTGAATGTTTGATTAGTGATTTAGCACAAACTTAGTCAGTATCTTTATGCTACTTTCTTGCTGTTGAATTAAAATGGATTCTCCCAAAACTTTTGTATGGCCTTTACATTCTCAAGTGTCTAAATGGGTCACAAAAAGGATGGTTCCATCAGATTATCTGTGGATTAGAAAGACAGTCTCATAAATTGAAACTGAAACTAATCGAAAGGATAATAAAATTTTTCACTATAGGAGGTTCTTTGCTCTGTTAAAATTATGAAAAAGCATTAAAAAGTGTTGTACTTGGTTGGCATTTAAATGGTTGAAATGCAGACTTCCAGCTACTTCATTGTTGTAAATTGCATATTTCAAGGAGTTGAGGGGAACTCCAGTGCCAAGACTTATGAAATAATTCCTGAAATTCTTGTAAAGCCATTTGGTGTAACTGAAACCAGAAGGTTTTAAGCTGAAAGAATATTCAGGGTTATTGTGAGTATCAGCATCACCAGATTTCAGGCCATTTAAAAATCCTGAATTACATCTTGATTGTGCACAATTCATGCTTAAATTAAATACATATTCAAATAAATAATTTTCAGACTATGCTCCATTTTTTCAACTTCTGAGTTAGGAGTCATCCTCCTTCACTGAAATGAGACATACAGTGATTGGTATCTTAAACATGCTTCCATCCTCAGCCCTCAAGGCCTGTTGAGTCATCCACTGGGATGGTTATGGTCTAATTGAGAATTGATTGCACATTGAATAGCATGAGTGGAATATTAGAATCATTGCTCATTGTTTCCTGAACAATGTCTTGAAAGAAACCATGAAACCTGTTCCATTGCAGAACCATGCTTTTTGTCTTCATCAGTATCGTCTACATATGACAGAAAAATCAGATTCTCACGCTGGGAAAAGTGACCAATACATTGTTTTCAAGAAAATGCATGTGGCTGAAGATTATTTCCTAAATGGAATGACTAGAATGCATGTTATGCTTACAGATTTAAAATGTAAATCAAAAGTTAAAACCTCATGGAAATGGTTCAGATAAAGAACCTGTAATGTAGTTGGTATTTCTGAAATCATAACAGTTTTTTTAGAGGTTTAAGTATTAGTAGGGAAAAGTTAAGACAAATATCCCTCAGTAAATGAAATATGCCCCCCTTGTAAGAGGCCAACAAAAAATTTCTCATGCTGTAATCACCCCCCAGCCAAAAAAAATCTTTAAAAGGGAAGAAAAAGCACCATAGATTTTCTTGTTGATCATATTATTCCTTCACAAAAAATGTATGTGGTTTTTTTTTTGTTGTTTCATGTATGATAAAGTGAACTAAAAGTTTTCAGTTTGTGTGATAATCTGTACCCATTTTTGTTGAGTAAACTGAGCATAAGCTCGAATGGGTGAATACTTTGTTCTCTAGCCTTTCTTGCTCAAGTGTTATTAAGCAACTGTGTGATCTGCAAATAAAAAGTAGTTGTTTCTTTATGTGTGTAATGCTACTGCTGGATTTTGTGCTCTTTGCAGAAATCCAGCAAAATATGAATTAAACCACCAAACTTTTTTCACAAAAGTAACCAAGTGTTAGTCAACATTTTGTCTCCTTTTATTCCCCACTCACTACTAATTTGAACTAAATTTGTGAAGGAAAAATATACATTATATAGCACATTAATAAACTCACAAATCATCACGTAGTCTTCCATTTGGGCATTCTGGCTGGAATTAACGGTGATTTAATCTTCTATTAAAGTATGCTAATAAAGAGGCTAATAAAAAGGCTCCAGAATTTACCAGTAATCACTTTCATTTTGTAGGATATCTATCATTCTGGAGTTTACTAATTCAGTCTTTTTTTTGGTTTGTTTTGGGTTTGTGTTTGGTGTTGTGGTTTCTTTTAGTACTTCTGAATAATCTTACAAATTCTGATGACCACTGTCCTTTTCATCCTCCTTTAAAACTTCTTGTATCAAAATGTTAAGAACCTTTTTAAATGCTCTAACTAGATAACATATGTTGTCAATTTCTATGAAATGCATTTACCAGCTGAGAAAAGGAGCAGCAGCAGTTTAATATAATATATAAAAGTGAAATCATTCCAAATTTGAGAAGATATATAACTGGATTTACACAGAAAAAGAATTGCTACAGAGGGATACGTTTATCAGAAAACATGAGCATCTGAATTTAAAATATTTGCTAGCCGTGGTTTATCCGAGTGCCACACTCTCCTCATGTTTTCAGAATATTTTCATAATGCATAGTGAGGGAGATAAAGAGAAATTAGAAAATAAGTACATCTTTTGATGCCATTTAATTTTTTGCAAATGGAAAACTGTCCAAGTAACCATGTGCTAAAATTGTACATTCTGTGCTGCTAGACAAATATGATACTGTAAAAGACTGTTTTCAGACCAAGACTGTTACTTTGTTTTGTAGAATAACAAAACAATGTAAAGACATAACATACAATGTTAGAAACAGGAGCAAAAAATAATAACCTATATATTCTTTGGTAAAAAGCTAATTATTGCATTGAAATCACAGCTCAGTAAGATTAAATTTTTACTTCAACATCACAGAGCTGAGGCAAATGACATGCTTGGTGTTAGAGTGTGAAGTTATGAAGCTGATATCATTGAAGCTAAAAGGCAACCAGTGAGTCTGAAAGTTCAGTAATGATGACTAAAGTTAGAAAGCAACAACTGAGGCAAAAATAGTGGCAATGTAAGGGAAGCTTTAGGGGTAATGATGTGAGACTTCAAAAGAGAGGAAAAAACCCAGCACAGTTCAGCTGATAACAGATCTAAAACTCTCAGCTGCAGAGCAAACAGTTACTTTTCTGAGACCGTTATTCCTGATGTTAAGAAAAGTGAAACTCATGGTCTGGCAAGAAAAATAGGAACTAAGTTACAGAAATATTGTCTGCCAAATGACTTTTTAGTGTGTGGTTGGTTGGTTGGTTTGTTTCTCAGAAGCAGCCAGGTAAGGGAAATAGGAAAGGACCACATTATGTGCAATATTGCATGAGATAATCAAGTGAATAAATTCCATTTACAAAGCAGTCCAGAACATTTGCAAAGTAGCACTTCCCTAAGTTGGTCTGGTGAGTTATGCTCACATCTTGGGGCTATTTTTTTCCCATGACTCAGTTAAACTAAGAACAAAACCACTACTATAAATACAAGTGAGGGATTGGTAAATCGAAGTTATTAGATAATACTACATTAGGGGCTTTTCTTAATTGGGTAGGAATAAATGAGGAATTTTTTTTTCTCAGCCCTTCTTGTTGCAGCTTCTTCAATTAATTAGTTTTTATGCTTTTGCAGCTTTTGAAAGCAGAGAACTAAATGATTCTTATTACATTCTTTCCAGTTCTGTTTCCTTTTTTTTTTTTTTTGTGCTCATGACTCTGAATGTTAACAGGAAAAATTTTTACAAAGTAATTTTTGGTTTCACTTCCAATTTGCATAGTCTCATGGATTCTAAGGTTGGCTTTTTTCACAATATTTTGCAAATTTTTTTTTTACTATTTTGTCAAGTCCAGTAATAAGCTGTTGGAAAATTTCAATATAACCATTTATTCATAAGAGTGACCCTATGCCTTTTACCTTGTTCATGTGTGAGACAGTAATTTGGGCTGTTATGTTTCTAATTAGTGTCTAATTTAGGACTGTAGGTAAATGTCTATATTGAAGAGGTGGTGTTAAAACTTCTATTTCCTTGATGTTGCCTACTGTCATCTGCCTCCTTCACCATTAGTGTTTGTTTTTTTAAAAACCTGTTACTCTTCAGTTGACTTTTCTCATTCTATGTATATGAAATTTAGAAGTCTCAGACCTGAATCAAGCTGCTAATCTCTGATGAAGTGTGATGATGTTAGCATTGACATTTCTAAATTAGCTTAATTGAAATTGTATAACTGACATTTCAGATGTCTTTCAGCATTTTTGTTTAACTTTGAACATTTCTAATATGACAAATGTTAATATGAACATTGATAGGATTAGTGCAAGTAGAATGTTACAGGATGCAGATACTGTTTATGGATGTAGCATGTTTAAATTATCTCCCATTAATTCTCTTTGTGCATAAATAGAAACAGCATTCTTAAAGTTTGTGGTCATCCTACTACCTAGCCCTGGGATAAGTAATGCTTAAAAATCCAATCTTCTTCAAGTGGTAGTTAGCTCTTATGAAGTTCATATTTCCTGAAATTGTGAGATTCAGCTCCCATGATGCACTCCTGCTTCAGTATGGCATTCAGACATGCCTGCTCTTCAGAACAGATGTTGTGCACAGTAGTAACCATTGCTTTTTGTTTATACAGTTTCAAATAAACAATTAAGTGAATGGTTTAAGATCTTGCTAAATTAGTTCAATTGTTTTATCATTATGTACTTGTTCACATTTGTAACAGTTATAATGAGATATAAAACACTGAAAGTGACTGAGGACTTTGCCTCTGAGACGTTTCTCTGCTTAACTGTTAAGCAATATGACACTAAAGAGGGAGCTAATGTCTTATCTAAAAGCAGAGGAAGATAAAGCAGTCCAGATGCTTCAGTTTGCGTCAAATAACCAATGAATTGTGTGCAATAACACTGAATGATTTCTGGTTCTTGCAGTTCTCATTTTTAAAAATCCTTTAGTACAATATACAGAATATTGTATGATATTGGGAAATAGTTATTTTCATAACTGTCAAAAATTTGTGTCCTGCCTGACAACTTTTCCTTTAAATCTTTTCGAACCTTCTTTCCTTTTTTATCTAGAATGCACAAAGGAAAATCTTACTGCACGTTTTTGCCACAGGTGAGTGTATTTGTACAGTACAGGTTGTGATATGCAGTTTTATATATAATAAATACTTTCATTTTATGAACTTGAAAGCTTTAGTTCATAGATGTACCTTTGTGGCTTTCTGAAGTATCCACACATCTGCTGTTTTCCTTGACAATAGCGATACAGATGCTGCTATCACCATGGGGATGGTACTCCTTAATGAAGCTGCTACCTCCAAAGGGGATGTTGGAAAAAGGAGAAGTAAGTTTTTTAGTACAACTAAGCTAATGTTTAGACAATTAGAAGACATTGAAAAATTACAAATAAATATCTGATTAAGTTTTCAGAAGGCTCCTACCTTAAACCAATTTTCTTTTGTGGAGTGGAGGAGAGTATAAAAATTCTGTTGTTAAAACTGCCTTCACATGAAGATGTAACAGTAAAAAAATGTTTTAAGCATACTCAGCCAAGGTACAGCTTGACACAGTATTTCCACTACGTAGTACTACGTAAATGCTTTTTGGCTCTTGAATTATGTTGAAAGTGACATAAAGAACAAGAGTTTCAAAACATTGTTTTCAAAGTGAATTTAGGCATTTAAGATGCTTAAGATGACGACATCCAAAGGAGTGTGAAAATTCATTTCCTTGGTACACTTTCCCAGTGTCCTGTCCTTCCAAGGAAGGTGAAAGCCCAACAGTAGATGTAGTGCAGAACATATCCTATAATGTCTAAAGATTCTTAGCCTGAAGTGCAAGTTTTATGTTGTTGTAATTCAGAATATTTGCAATATTTTTCTGGCAATTAATTGCATAAACCCACAATATAAAAGTATTTTATCCAGATTTAAACTCCCTAACTGTTATGTTGAACAAACTTTTACTGAGTATAGGTTGAAACAAATATGCCCATCAGCTTTCATACCTTTTAAAATATGTTTTTTTCATATCCCCTGCCACTTACTCTTTTTCTCATATAAGGCATTGAAGACCTTTGAAAGATACCAGACTATGCTGCTTCTTCTTTCTTTCTAGATCAGTTCTTTAGCTTCTTCTATGTAATAGATAGTGTTGCAGATAGGACTGGTCAACTGTTTTCTATAAAAGCATTCTATAATTCTTCATAATAGTCGATTGAATGTTGGCTGGAGATCTCTAATCTGTAGTGATTTGAGGGTCTTCTTCAAGGAGCTGAAGACATATAACTTCATTATGAATGTATTTTACAATATCTAGTTTTAATACTGATGTCAAAAGAGACAGTAACATGAGTTTAATTGGAATATGGTCTTAGATCACAATTGAGATCTTGCTCCATGAACAAGGAAACAGCAAAATAACAATGGGCTGCAGTACAAATTCAGTCTCTTCTGCTTGTGGACATTATTGGAATGCTGTCTGTGTACCTGCCCTGTACTGCTCACGCTTTGCAACTTATTCATCCATGCTTTGAAATCATATTTATGAGTGGTGATTTCTTCATAACGAATTGTGTTTATAAGATTTGTACATGACTAGTTTTCTCAAAATAACTGCAGAAATTTTATATTTCAATTGACATATGTCAGTTTCCACATGGTCGGTTTTAATGAAAAAATGCATCATTGTCAGTTTCCCCAGCTTCATGGTTGCTCATCCTTCGTTCAAAGCCAACATACTTTTGAAGCATGAATATTGCAATTAAATAGCAAAGACTTGGCTAAAGTAGGAATAGTATAAGGAGAGAAGCTTTTAAAGTCAATGTAGCTCACTAGAACCAAAACATCATCAAAAGTAGATAAGGTGTATCTTAATTATATGCATCAGCTTGTAACATGTTGCCTTTATTTTTAATTTAGATGCAATTGAGCAAGATATCATGATCAAAAAGATTTTATGCTATTATTACACAGGGTGCCAACTGGTGTTCCAGATTTTATTTGTTAATTTAAGCATTTATTATACTTTGCTAATTCATTTTTTTGCCTGAAAAGGCTCAAAGTTCTTGCATCTGTATGCTGTTGGAAGGTCTGCATCATTGTTATTTATCTTCAAAACCTAAAGATTTATATTGCTATCAAGTTAAGATTAAAAAGTGATTTGGCTACCAGCCTTGGAACTTACAACAGTGAAATATTTTAGCCACTAAGTTACTAATGTATTTACTAAACTGTCTTTGCTGTTACTTCAGCCTTAGTTGGTTGACTAGAGAGAACACAATTCCATTAGACAAAGGATATTATTCTAAATGTAATTTGTTTTCCAAAAAGTACAAGCATATACCTGAAATTACATTACTTGATTTGTGTAATTTACAGGGTTATTAAATCCATTATCAGCATTCACATATATTCGAGTTGCAAATTTCTGCTCTTTTTTCTTGAAAATACATTCAGCCTGACAAATTATTTTATCTTAATAACCATAAATATTATTTCTGTATATGTTTGAAACCCTGTCAGAAGATAGTGGGCATCAGTAGTAAAGGCAGTAACATTTTTGTATTTAACTGTATCAAAATTCTCCATAAATGATTGACATACATAATATTCTTTGTAGATATTCCAGTTTTAAATCTTTTATGTGCTAATAAAGTTATTTTCTTTCCAGTAATATGCCTTGTAGGCCTGGGTCTGGTGGTCTTTTTCTTCAGTTTCCTATTGTCGATATTTCGCTCCAAATACCATGGCTACCCATACAGGTAATCTCTCATTGAATTACCATTTTATAGATTTTAATAGCTTTGTATAAGTTTAAGAATATCTTTCAGGTAAACAATGTTTAATTTGTACCACTGAAATCTGTGGGAGCTTGAAGAAGCAGGAATAATGGTGATTAATTCAAGCAAACCAAAAATGGCTGAAAAGCTCATGTTGTTAACGTGACTGTTAATGCAGACCAGTTAAATGGGTTTGAGCACAGGCACATGGAATATACACAGTGGCCCATGAAAAATACAAAAGAAAACATGTGCTTGAGTTTATAAACCTTTATTAGATATTTATTTGTGTATCTTTATAATATGTACATAAGACAAGGCACAAAAACACCAAACCATTGTACAGTGCTAAGCTATGAATTATCACTAAAAGTACCCTCCTCTTATTAGCCACACCAGAGAGTAAAGATAGGGTTATAGTCTTTCTTAATTATATGTACAGCTGTTGATTAAACAGTTATCATTTGTCTGACAAGCAGAAAAAGTAGAAAAATTGTAATGAAAATACAGTTCTCGCATTTTGTAGGTGGATGCTTTCAACTGGGAGGTCAGCTACAGAGGTAGTCTAGACTTACGATTCACATCTTCTTGCTGATCTGTTACATGGTTTTTTTAGTAGCCTATATGGCCCATAGCATTTTCTTGTGATCCTGGTACCATTTTCAGATGTACATGAAAAAGTCTAGCTGGAGGCAAAGGAAAGGTGCAATTAAGGAAATCTTCAGTGCTATAGTAGTGATGGACCAGGCTACTGAGATAAAAGCAATTCAATGACATTTCCTTACTCATCAAATTTCGGGAACAAAACAGAGACTTCTTGATTTTTCTCTCCCAAACCTTTGTTTTGTAGGTTGGCGAAATATTTTTAATGAGGGAGAGTCCTTTTCCTGTTGCTCTATTCTCCTGGATTAGCAATTTTGTTCCATTGACTTTTGATCCTATTTGAAACTATGCTGTTCCTCTCATTGCTTCAATCTTTTTTTTTCCTGTAGAGATGTGTATCTATGTATAGAAACATATATATGACATATATATATATTTATATACCTATATATGTATATATCCTTATGTGTGTGTGTGCATATATATATATATATATACATATATACACACACAGTTGACATAGTCTTAGCATGCTATGGTAGGCTTTACAATAGAGATAATATGCATGAGTGCAGTTTTCCCCCCTCTAGGTGGCCAAAGTGCATTTAAAAAAAGAGATTTTCCTTACTTCCAGTGAAATTGGATTCTATAAACTAGTAGACTAATCCTTCACAGAATATTAGTCTGCATTACTATTACCATGTATGGAAGAGTAAGTGGATGGCATATGTTTTGCAGTGTAGATTTTGCTGAAAGATAGGGTATGATGAAATGTCAACTTATATATACATAAGAGAAACGTTAGCACACCAGATTCAGAAAGTGATATGTTTTAGTAAGTAGAGAACAAAAGATCTGTCTCTTAATGTTAACAGTTCTATTGTTTTTACAGTCACTTAAAGAATCATATGAGAAATACTTCTGTGATTTTTCTGAGATACTTCTTGGTGTTGGTTTGTATGACTAGATCTTGTGATCAGTGCAGCAACCAGCTTTATATTCAGTATTATGTTCCACTAGTAAGGATTTAGCCTTGGGAAGCCAACTTAGATCTAACATTTCAGCTAATACATAAAATTTTTCTGTTAGTTTTTGCTGCAAGACTTTAAAACTATTTTTTGTTTACTGGCTCTGGCCTCTTTATGTAGATTAATTGACATTATGTTTAGATCACCTCAGATTATTTTAGCATTTAATACCATCATACTCAAGAAAACTCTTCCTCTTACAGTATGCACAGAAGGTGTGCTTCTGCTTTTTACTCATTTCTGCTAGGTAAAGACATCTGTAAAGGGCCCAATAGTGTATTGCAAAATTTCATCAGCATGGATTTAGTAGTTTGCCATCTGGGATAATGTGTACAGCCTCTCAGCATCATCTCTGGAGACTACCTTCTAGCTCAACTGACTTGGGGTGAAAGACAGGATCCAGTTTTCCTAAGCATGAGGTATTCTTACTTCCCATTAAGTGCTTAAGTCTTAAACTTAAAAGAAGAAGGAATTATGAGCTTGATCTACAGCTCATAAGATCACTTGTGAAGCACTGCCAAATGTCACCCCATACTCTGAGCTCACTTACATTTCTCATAACAAGTTTACTAAAAGGAAAGAGCAGTTGTTGTTGTTGTTGTTGTTGTGTTGATTGCCATGCAGTTTAACAGTTACTGAAGAAAACCTGACAGTTGTACTAGTTTCATTTTAGTTATTTCATCTTAGGAATGTTCTTATCACCTATTAACAACATGCTTATATGATTGTGCCAATTTCCAGACTTGCATGGCTTTTGTGACTGCACTAGGTTTTTTTGACTGCTGTATGATACCTAGGATATCTGAAGTGGAACAGTACATTGTGAATATTAATATGCTCTGTGAGTTGGCATGCCAACACAATGGTTGGACTGGATGATCTTCAAGGTCTTTTCCAACCGTGATGTTTCTGTGATTCTGTGAATACCATTGATGTTATTGCAGACCTGATTGCTCAGGTCCATTACATACCTTGTTGTATCATGTATTGTGAGCTTTAAGAATATTTATTTAAGTAACATAGGGGGTTTCCCTCTTTTCTTGCTAATCTGGTTGCTTTAAATTTTGGGTGGGATGGATTTATTTTCAAATTTTCTTTTCCCCACAATTGAGCCTGTATTTAGTGAAATATGACACATCTTTTATTTGGAGAAGTTGGAGCCCTGTGTAGATTTTGTTCTCCTCAGTATCCAAGCTAAGAATAAAGGACATCAAGAATACAGAGTGGGGGAAAGAGAGAAATTTTGGATTCTATTAAATGTTTCATTTCAATAAATTTATTATGCAATGCCTGTGGAAAATAAGTGAACCTGTTAGTAAGTTAAAGATGGGGAAGAAAGAAATAGAAGAAATCCAGGATAGTACTAGAATGATTCATCACAATGTTAAAATGAGATAGTGCTGCATCATGTTTTACTATGAAGGAATTATTAGATCCATAAACCAAATTCTGACTTAAGGACCTAAGTAGATTCAATATCACAACTTACTAATCGGTAACACCCATCAAGTAAATTCATAAAAGAATGAACCCTGTGGGTGAATAAGTACATAACAAACATCTAATAGCTGGCTAAGTGTTATGCAGTTTTCTTTGATTTTTTTTATACTGTTACTGCTCCTGCAGAATTAAGCAAGATTTTACAGGCTTACTTGGACTGCCCTAGATTCTTCATGTTTTCATAGGAGTAAATTAATCATTCAATCTTAAATCCTCACTCAGTGCAGAATTACTGGAAATTGTAACTAGAACTGATCCTTTTGCTTTTCTATTATCAAATTTCATTTGCTAGTTTTCCAAATGTGTAATTTACTTATCTGGTCCTTTCCAGTGTTAAATTTTTCAGGTTTCTCTTGGGTACCTCTGACCCCATTTTCTGTTGCATTATTTTAAATAAACTTTATGTGTTTGTTTATTTATTAATATTTATTTGTTAAGCATTAAAAATACTGTTGATTCTTCAACACTTCAGTGATCTCAACCATGTCATCTTCATGACAGTGCCATAATGTTTCTGAAGAGAAACCTCTTTGATGTGCATAGTTCTGAATTTTAATGAAGTGAATGTGCAAAACACTAAGGAGGACCAAGTATATAAACTCAGTTATTTTCTCTTTCCCCCTTTAGTTTAATATCCTGCATTTTAACTTCAGTCATATATCTTTTTGTCTGAATTCCTTAGGATCTTCCAAGGAGTTCCATGTCCCATCAATTGATCCCAGTGTAGATATATCTTAAGATGGGAAATATGCCTGTCTTTTTACTTTCACTGGTTGTAGATTTCACCTTGAAACTCTCAGTCTTCATGTGATAAATTATCCTCAGGCTAGTAAAGCTTTGCCTTTAACAATACTAGCAACAACACATACTAATGATCTGGCAGAAAAAAAGAAAGACTGTTTTTGTTGTCAAGCCTAAAGCAACAGTTAAAGAAAACGGAAATTGTTTTAATGCTATACGCACAATCTCAAGCATCAACTTCACTGTCCTACTTAAAAAAAAAAAAAAAAAAAAAAAAAGTCAAAAAAACTATATTGTTTCTGTTCTCTGACTCTGAACAACCAATTCAGTCCTCTCTGAGGATGCGCCCATATAAAGTGAAACAGTAACACAACATGCAGTACATCCTCTTTCTTTCCAGTGATGTCCCCATAGTGAAGATGAAACAGGTGGATAAACATAAATCAGGAGTCAAAAACTGGAGAAAGACTTACTTCCTTTTCTAATGTGCATAAATAAAAGTACTGGGAATGCTGTTATTTTGTTGACCCTGGTAATGCCACTGTCATTGTTAATTTCTGTGACAAACAGAAAAGTGTCCAGAGAAGTGCTAGATAAGAGTGCAGGTCTGTAAGTGTGCTCTTTAGATGGCATGTATGTAGGACAGTAACATTTTGTTTGCATTTATTTCATCCACTTCACACATTTTCCAATTAAGTTTTTGAGTCTTCCTTCCAAAGAATTTTCTTTTTGTAGGCTAGGGTGGGGGAAGAAAATGTTTTAATTAATGTGCTGGTAAAATACCGTTATACAATAAAGTATTGAAGTGGGAGAGGTGATGCAAAATGGAGGTCATCATGAAGGTTACTTTCTGAGTGAGCACAATCATGATGAATGAGCTAACATGTTACATATCTCTCTGCTAGAGCCATTTTTACCATGGCCGGGCTTTTTCATGGCTGTAGTAATCCACCATTTTTATGGGAGCTATATGAATTTTTTTATTTTGCTAAAACTTTCATTTTAATTGCTGTCATTAACTGTTGAAAAGTAATGCAGTAATTTTATCTAACATTGTTGAACATTTTCCCTTTTATAATAATAAGACAGGAGTGTTGATGTATCTTGAAAGAATCTCTTTGGAAGCCTTCTCACCCCAATATTTAAAGTGAATTAGTGATATATTAAGTATCAGGTACTCAGTGACTGAGCAATAAAATTTCGTTATATCAACACAAAATTTTATCTGTCAACTAATACACGAGAAGGACAGAAACTATTCTTAACTATAATGCAAAAGTATGAACTCTGTTAGCTTTTCTAGTCAGGAAAGAGATTGGAAGGCTCCCTGGAAACCTCACTTTAGGCAGTTTCAGTCCAAAGAGCACACAGAATATTAGAAAGAATGAGGGAGAATGGTAAGAACAAAACAGAAGACGTCAGTACACTATCACAGTATTGTATTACTGGGGATGTTAGGAATGTAAATACTTGTAATGCTGGTTTCTTCAAGAGGACACAGAAGTGTTACCCACTGTTTACTGATGTTAAAAAAAGTTTGTTGATTTTTATTTTTTTTTTAACCTTTGGCTGAAACTTATTAACTGTCCTGTGTTGTCTTTTCTGCTTTGTTTTCTGGATGAAACTTTTAGCACACTTCCATCAGTGTTGACACTTCCAATTGTCCTTTCAAGTCTACGTTTTATCATTTGCTGTTGTTTTAATCTGAATTTAAATGATATGAACACCTGAAAATTCAAAGTTTTCATTTAAGTTTTCATTAAGAGCTTGCATTAAGTAGCTTTTTAAAGAATTTTTTGGTAGCTGCAGTTAAGTGTTTCATTATCAGATTATCCTTTATAGCCAGTGTATCTAGCTATTATTGAAGAGAGTAACGTAAAGAGTTTATAGTTGAACCATAAAAAATTATCGTCCTTCCAAACTATGTATTGGTGGAACGGAAAGTACATATTCTGTATTGACTAGCAGAGAAAATTAACTAAGCTGCAAGAAAGCACAATAAATAAAAGATGCCTTATTTTCATCAAAAGAACATAAATGTTAAATCAGACATGAAGTATTCATTCATTGCTTAGAGAAAAGCAGTCAATGCAACAAGAACAAATTGCAAGATACCCCAGAGCCTGAAAATTCCTCTTGTTCACTATGTATACCACATAACAAATGTCTACCCTCACTGTAATTAAATTAGTTTCAGTAAAGAAATCCTGTATATTATTGAGCAATTGACATTAAATGCAATTGAATAAAATGGAATAGTTATTTCTTGGAAATATACTGGTAAAATATTAGTATGTACAATAAATAGTATTTGCAGACATACAAAATTAAATTTATTAATAAATGTGAGCACTACTAACAATTGTTCAGGTGTTTCGTGTTGATTTCATGCATAATTAAATTGATTCACGAAAAGTTTATGAGCTGGTAAATCTACTTCTGATTTACCAAGATTCACATTCAGGTCTGTAGTGCTCAGCAAAATAGGCTACTTTATTCAAAACAGCAGAAATCAGGATTATTTTAAGACAAGAAAACAGTAATGCACAGTTGTCAGAACAAAATATCTTAAATTTAGCATTTTCTATGCTACTTCTCTTAATGTGGCTAGAAATTCTGTTCTTCAGCAACAAAACCGCCCATTGAAATGGAAGGCAAAACAGCTCAGTCTCTTCTGTTCATCTAAACCATCCAACAGCACACTGGAGTCATTAATAAATGTCCAGAGACCTCCACATTCCTCTCTATGTAAAGTGTCCACATTCATTGCTGGTTTCTAGTGCTTTAAAGAACGGGATATCTGAATTCTAGGTGACAGGCCCCATAGCAGATCTCTTAAGAAGCATGTGCTTCATCCTGTGGCAGCTTGCATGCTCTTCTGTGAGTAGAACCTTCCTTCTGTGATTACCACCATTAAGAATTCCTCTTTTTGCTTTTATGGCTTTCTTGTAAGTCTTACAGTTTACCTACCTATACTACCCATTTCCAGCTAGTTAATGTCTGGAAGGGCACAGTTTGGCCAGCCTTTCCTATTCTGCTTTGCATAAGGGAACTTTTTTTTTTTTTTCTTTTTGCAGATCTACCCCAACAGATGTCCAATTTGCTATTCTAGATTTTTCATAAATGCTGCCCCTTCTCTTTGGCTACTCTTTAGTTTATGATTTTTTATGGTGTTTTGGATTTTTGTGGGTTTCCACCTCAGGCTTTTTCCTTTTTTGGTGTATCTAGCCTCTTAAGCTTGTTTTATGGCTTCTATATAACTTGCAGTGTTTACATTATCCATATTCTAGATCATGTCTCTTTGCTAAAAATTCAGTTCGCTTGTAGACAGAAAGTAAGGAACAATAGCTATGGTAGTATCATATTTATCAAAAATGACACTGCCATATTTGTATTTCCTGACAATTATACGATTCAGTCTTTTACCCCTCCTGAACCTATCAGTGCTATCTGCCTGATTATTGTGATCTTCAGCCCTTTCCACTCTTCCCCCCAAACTTTTTCACTACCAATATTCCTCTTCTCCTCTCAGTTCCTTTCCTATACATAGCCTTACATATCTATCCTAGACCTGGGTTATCTTTTTAGTCTCATGTGCTCCGCATTCTCTTTCTTCTCCACTCAGCACCCTGCAGTTCACCTCTTCATGCAGTTGCTCTTGCTAGCTGTTCCCTTTCAATAATCACTTCACCCTGCAGCACCCAGCCAGTTGCCATCTGTTTTGCCTTGGTTTGTATGTCTTGCCTAATGAGCTTGTCACCCTTTCGCAGCAGGGAACATCTTTATACTGATACAGTCTTTTAAGCTTATATGGCACTTATATTTATGTTTTGTAAAGATTAATTAATTATGCCATGAATGGAAAACTGATGAAATTACTACAATGTGTATGCTAGAGCATGCTGCATATCGATGAGGAGATGAAAGATCTTCCATTCAAAGCTAGAGGCAGTGAAGAAACCTCTCCATTTGGTAGTTCGTTGCCTTTGTGTTTGTACAGTTAACTCAGTATGTTGTCATGCACAAGTCTTTCTCTTTGTGTTCCCATTTCCCAATTTATGACATCACTGTTCTTTGCTAAAGTACTTAGAAAGGTATGGCACACAATATAGACCTACTTTTTAAAAACACAAAGTTTCATTCCAGGGGTAAAGAAACAACAATGTCATCTGAAACTTCTTCATTTACTAAAATATTAAGAATTTAAGAATGAAACCCTACAGAGCCTTGCCAAGTCCTCTATACCCTCCCCACTCTGGGGCCACTTCAAACAGTAAAAGAAGAACGTTCTAAATAAATCTGAAATATCCTGGGAGAGGTGGTTCTCACTTCAAGTAGTAAGAGCAGATGCAGAACTTGATTAAAGAGAACAGATGTTTGAATTGCATTTTACTTTTTAATTTTTTTAAATAGGCAAATTTAAGTTTCAGTCACTCAAGTTCTATTTGATGACTTTCATGCTTGTTTAGTAATTACTAAATGGGATATAAAAACTTAAGAGATTATTACATAAATGTCAAATGACTTCAAAAGAATGTTTTGAACTCTTTGTTTATTCAAATAATTGTGATGCTATGTTTTATATGCATTTTGCAGTATTTAATCATGTTTTCTTTCTTTTCAGCTTCTTAATTAAATGAATTCAAGAGGGATTCATTTAGAGCTGCTTACCATGAAGATAAGCTATTACTGATATTATCTGCCCACCAATGTTACATGTATTCAAGAATCTTTTGTTGGTTCATCTGTTTTTGTGATAATTTATATAGTATGCTGATAGATAAATGAATGCAGTTTTATGCAATGAATGCGTAATTTATAGAAATATACAGTAAACACCTCATTGGGAAGTGCTAAAAAGTTATGAATATAGTGTGCTCAAGAATTTAAATAAATTTCATTATAATGGGCTTCTGTTTAAGGCTTCCTCATTACCTTTAAGTACATGAATCCAAAGGATATTGCCAAGAATTTTCATGTGAAGTTTGTTACAAGGTTTTGAAATGTGCTTTAAAATTTAACGAAGTATCGTTGGTTCTTCAACCACTGTTAGGGGAAAACGGAAACCTTAATGACTACATGCACCTCACCACCACTTTGCTTTAAAACAGTATATGTATATACAGTCTCTGATCACTTCAGTCATGTTGAGTCATTAATATAAAATTATATTAACATATTTTCATCATGGATTTCTTTTTTTTCCTGGCTTGGTAGTTGTTGGCGTACATACATTGCTAGTTCATCTCTCTTTCATACCAAAGAACACAGTTCAAAATGGTTTGTGGAATTTTGAAGGCAAGAAGGCTTAGATCAGTCAGAATGCAGATCCTTTTAAGATGACTCTGTGGTGACAAAATGGGAGGATGGGGGGCAACAACATTTTGTAAAACGTGTTCTTTTCCTTAGGTAGCAGCAGAAGGAATGTATTATCCTGAACAATGTTAATAAAGCAATACAGATGAGTCTATTGGAACAGAAGTTACAGCAGTTGCCAGTTTTTTGTTCACCCAGCTTTGTGAAACGCTTTTGTAGGCATTTGTAATGCCATTTTTGTAGCTTCACACATATTATGTGAATTGCTCATAAACCTTTGCATATGTCTACTTAGTGTATTCTCTGTAGCTCAGGAAACAAGAATCACATATAAATCTACTTCAGTCCTGCTGCTTCTTTTTCTCTCTGCTGGCAGTTTTCCATGTACCAGTTCACTGTCTCTGGCATTCCAGGAATGAAATCAAATTGGAATTTCTCTATTCATGATATAGGACTCCACAAACCTTACTTCATCTAATGCTCTAGCTGTTCCTTCTCCAGAAAATATTGGTATGTTAAGGCTGGGAAACGTTTTAGAACAGGAAAAAAGAGAAGGAACAGGTTGTATCTTACACAAAAACAAAGTAAGACCTCTGGTGTGGAAATGCTGCAAGGTTGTACAGCAGCATTTAAAATAGAAGTTGGCAGAAAGTTGATCAAGTCAAAACACCCAGTTCACAGACTGATATGGATTATGAAGGGGGATGCAGCCTTTTTAGAGGTGCATCAGCTGTTAGCCAGAAAGGCAGATCACATTGTGTAGGGAAGGCAGATCAGACTGATCATGATGCCAGCTGACTGATACACACCAGTGTGTTAAAGCTAGGGCAGAATTTGCAAGAGCTTTATGTCAGTTCTAGAAGCTTGAGAAATAGATGGAGGATTTAGAATCTGTGGTATCAAACAACAGCCCTGTTATAACAAGCATTCAGAGACCTGGTGGGAAAAAAAAAATAATCAGGACACTGTTGCCAGGCTACTGACTTGAGAACAACACAGCATGATATGCGTGTGACAAAGTGGCACCATATGTGAAAGATTACATGTGAAAGAGTACAACAGCATGGGCATCACACAGGAAGAAAAGAAGCATTGCAGTAGATCTCCATGGTTGAAAGTCTGTACTGAGCTAATTAAGAAAAAAAATATTTAAGAAAGAACTAGAATTGTGGTAGTGGCCCCTGATCAAGATGACAGTAGCAAACAGGAAGAGACTTGGAGAAACTGTGTTTCAGGCAGATCATAGTCATGAGAGATCGTGCTAATGAGATTAAGTATTTCAGGTTGTGATGAGGTGTAAAGTATTGCAGTGATACATGACTGCCTCCCGGAACAACTGGTAGACCTCAAATAATAACCAAATCAAAAGTAGCAGCTTGAGTAGTGCATGGGTGCTAGCATAAGAGGTGTTCATGGGAGAGGTACTCTATAACAGCAACCACAATACAGTAGGGTTAATACTGTTGCAAGAGAAGAGTTAAAGTGAAATCTGAACTAGTAAGTTGGAGCAATGTAGAAATAAAGGCAGTTAATAAAACAAAACTAACCCACAACAACAACAACAACAAAAAAAGAACAGTCCAAATAGCAAGATGCCTACAACCAGCCTAGGGGCTATTAAATACTGTATTAGAAGCCAAGGTAAAACATGTGCTGCAACTCAAAAAGAAATAATGAATACTTACATGGTCAATAGGAAAGTTACTCAGAAAGAGTTCTGTGGTTTGGGAAAGTTACTCAGAAAAAGTTCTGTGGTTTGAATGCTGACAAGAGAAACAGGAGAACTCACATCACAGGTCAACAGTACACATAATAGGTCTAAAAAAATAATCTAAAGATGATGCTTAAGGTGGTAGCATGGTAGCACAGAATTCTTAAAGTACATCAAAAGCAGGGGACCAGGTAGGGGGCTAGTGAGAGGGCTGATGACAAAGGTTTAAGAAGGGGCACCTAGTGATAAAGACTATGACAGAAAAGCTAAATTCTCTGCAAGAGCTAGGCCAGCAGATACAGATCAACATGGCCTAGCATCTTCTTTGTAATTGCTTTAAATAGCTAAGCTAGATGCTGGTAAGATCTCAGGACCAAATGGCATTTAGAAAGAGCTCTGAAGGAAATCAGATGTGAGGTTGCAGAACTGCTGAGCAAGGAGCCTTCACCTATCATTACAGATTGCCTCTGTATCAGAGGACTGATGGATTGCCAACACAGCTGTCATCTATAAAAAGAAGAGTATAGAGAAAATACTGAGCTACAGACCAATGAACTATTTCCAATCCTGATAGGATGTTTGAGTTTGCAATAAAAAGTTTACTGAGATGAAGTGTAAACATAGTCAGCTGAGAAAGGTGTAGGACTTGTATAAGGGAGAATTTAAGCTCACAAAGCTTGGAGAGAGCTAAAATAGTGTTAGAAAAGCACATGGATAAAAATAATTTGGTATGGCTTTACTAACCTAGTCTACAATTGGGAGAAGTGTCTTCTTCATGACTTGAAAACGAGTTAAAAGATACCAAGCCAAGGATAGGGCTTAATGGTCATTTCTTGTAACAGGATGTCACTTCTTATGTCTGGATGGGGAAGCTCTGCAGAGAGACCTGGACAGGCTGGAGCCATGGGCTGAGGCCAACTGGAGGAGTTTCAATGAGGCCAAATGCCGGGGGCTGCCCTTGGGCCACAACAACCCCCAGGAGCGGCTTGGGGAGGAGTGGCTGGAGAGCTGCCAGTCAGAGAGGGACCTGGGGGTGCTGATTGACAGCCGGCTGAACAGGAGCCAGCAGTGTGCCCAGGTGGCCAAGAAGGCCAATGGCATCCTGGCTTGTGTCAGCAATAGCGTGGCCAGCAGGGACAGGGAAGGGATCTGACCCCTGTACTCGGCACTGGTGAGGCCGCCCCTCGATT